TACCGTGGTGTCTTCACCGTGGTGAGTCGACTGCTGCCGCTCCCCCATCGACTCTGCCTGCGCCTCTCGCCGAGCTGGGGTACAGGAGTCGACGGGAGAGTGCTCAGGGGTCGATGTATCGTGTCTAGACTAGACACGATAAATCGATCCCCGCTGGATCGATCGCTGCCCGCCAATCCGGCGGGTAGTGTAGACATACCCGTACTCTAGTTATGGACCTCCCTCCTAATAGATACAGCAATAACATTTTGACTCATGTGAGCACAAGACAGTTCAGATGAACATATTAGGACTGGCAAGGATCACTTGTGACCTTCTTCCTGGCTTTTGTCAGGTGGCTGATGGCCTTAATGTTTTGATGAAGGTGTGTGTGTGTGTGTGTGTGTGTGTGTGTGTGAGAGAGAGAGAGAGAGAGAGAGATCATTCCTGACAGATTGTAGAATAATAGTAATTATTATTTGTATTGTGGTATTGCCTAGTGCTGGCTGCTGTACACGCTCATAACAAAGTGATGGTGCCTGCCCCAAAGAGCTTACAATCTCGGTATCAAACAAGAGATGAGACGTGTACAGAACATACAGCTGGGGAGAGCAGAAGGTAGCAGTGAGACGATCCTGAACAATGTGGTAATGCTGTGAGCTCACATGATGCTTTGCATGGCAGGAGCTCAAAGCCCTACACAGACATAAGCATCGTTATCCTGGTTATGGAGAGGGAGAGAGGTCCTGAGGCTTGCCAAAGGTGATGTCGTGAGTCAGAGGCAGCAGTTTCCTTGAACAAACTGAGATGCTGGTGTCCATGTCTAGAACTTTAACTGCTCCATCCCCTCCAGCTTTTGGAAAGCCTGGTTGAGGAGTTACGCTGTACCTCTTCCCCTCAGCTTGGCCAAACTGGGGCCCAGATGTAGTACGGGGGCAACTTAATTCCAGGGATGAGGCTCAGCATCACCCCGAGCCCCCTGGAATTTCTCCTGAGGGTATCTAGCCTTAGTGTTCCCTATCCTGGTGAAACATAGAAGGAGCTGGAAAGATTCCCACTGGTTTGGATCAGGCCCAGCGTGAGGAATGTGAGGAAAATCAAAAGGAAAACTCCATCCACTGACTTAGAGTTTGTTTTCTAACAAGTGTCCCAATTTCCATTCCCTAGGGAACCAGGTGGACCGTAAAGCCTGCAATAAGAATTGCACTGGATATCACCTAGACTGCAGACTGCATTTAGCTGCTTCTTCCCCCTCGCCCCATCAGTGTCTGTTTTAGTGCCAAATTACCATTTGTTTTGTCTTCTCTTTCCCTTACTTAGGGAGCGAGTTTTCTGGAAGTCCATACAGCCACCCACAGTATTCAACATACAATGACTCCTGGAGATTTCCCAACCCTGGATTGCTAGGTGAGTTTTCCTACTGAGTTTCTCTAGGAACAACCTGCTCACTGCAGCTGGGGCTTGTCCTGTAGGTGGCTGCACATCTCCTCACTGGATGTTGGGCCAGATCTGGCCTTTGTGCACATCCAGTCATGGTAAGTGAGAAGCATCTCCTTGCACAATCTTATGGATTCCCTCTGACTGCCCACAATGACAACAATCCTGCTTCAAGATATACTAGGACAGACCCCTGCACCGGCCTGGGGTCCTGTCTCTCTGCTGGCTGGTCTCTCTCCATCTCTCTTTCTCTTGCACGCACGCACCACATTGCCTCATACCTTGCCCCCATTCACTGACACGTACAAGATTCAGATTTGTTATTTGGAGGGCTACGGAGTCCCTTGCCTGCACAACATGGTGCGGTCACTATGCTGTTAAAAACCAACAATATCCTGGTGTTTGTAATCAACTGGAAATGTTTGTTTCCAAATTAGAATCAATAGTCTATGCCAGAATCCAAGACCAGAGAATTGCCTGCCAGGTTAGTCCAACCTGCTCGTCTCGCTCGCTACCAATGCCTATTCTTATCACCCCCCCATTTCATGTCTGCTTTTTAATTTGGCTTTTGCCACAGATTCGGGCTCCATTTCTGGGTGGGCTTCTGCTAGCAGGAACCCCTACACCTGTGCAAACTCTTTTCTGCTTGAGGGGAATCTCCTGAGCCCAGGGTCTGTGCTAGCAGATCCTCATGCAGAATGGGGTCCCTAATCTACAGAGTGAACATGATCCATTTTACACCACTGTCTCAAAAATTGGCCCCTTTGACTTTATATATACACAGAGCACACATTAGTGAGAATTTTCCTACACAGTTTGCATGGAGGAGGCAGGCAAAATACCAATTAATTGTCCTCTATCAACTGTAAGACTAGAAAAAAAACAAGGAGTCCTTGTGGCACCTTAGAGACTAACAAATTTATTTGGGCATAAGCTTTCGTGGGTTCTAGCCAAATAAATTTGTTAGTCTCTAAGGTGCCACAAGGATGCCTCGGTTTTTTTTGCTGATACAGACTAACCACTGAAACCTGTAGGAATAGAGTTTTCCAGATTTATGGATGACAGGCTGATGTAGGTGACCTCCAGCAGAGGAATAATTTTGAATTTTTGACTTTTTTTCATTTTTTCTTTGTTTTAAGTCGTTGAACCTCTAAGTAGCTGAGCTACCCAACCTTTGTTCGTCATGATTCTTGTCTTTAAAGAAATCCTTTGGGAGTAACAGACAGCGACAGCGCCCCATGCCGTGGTACAGGTAGAATACCGCCACTGGCAGTATTATAGTTAAGGGTCTGTTAATGCTTCCCTCATAAATCAGAGGCCAGATGCTCTGCTGATGCAATTTGACATAGCTCTACTGAAGCCAACCAACCTACATGGATGTAAATCCATGTAGGATCTAGCCCAGGAGTTAAGATAAAACTTGGATTTGGATGCTTGAATCCACTTTAACTGAGACTCATAAGGAAGGGAGGGTGTTTTTCCGCAACTCTTGTCAAAGAAAATGACCTGGTTTTAAATTGTACAATTGTAGCAAAATTCAACAGCAGCTCTTCACCCCTGTAGGAGTTCCCCGAATATGGAAGGGGTGTTCTGTACACGCAGAAAGCTAACAGCAGCAACAAAAACATGTCATTTGAAAAGGATGCCATCTGCAAAGTAGCTAAGGCTAGATTCTGAACCCCTTACTCATATTGGAAAGGAATTACTTCCCCAAGAAGCCTCATGTATTGATGACATACTGAAGTTTAAATGCCTCTTGAAAACGCACTGCTACTTTGATATCTACAAGTAACAATAATAGCATGCTTCTCTGGAAATTTCAGATTGCCTGGTCATATATGGATATAAATATATCAAACATTGTGAGCTGGACTCTTGGCCAGTATAAATTGGTGTAGTGCATGAAGCCAATGGAGCTACACTGATTTGCACCAGCTGAGGACCTGTCCCAGTGTCCCGAAAACTTTGCAATTTGATTGAACTGAAGCAAAAGATTTCCCTTCATTTTAATCCTCAATGTTTCAGTTGCTTCAAAAAAGCACTTCTGAGCCATTTTGAATTTTTTCTGAATAGTGTATTTATATGATGAGTAAGGCTAAGGTTTAGTCAGGGGTATTTTTGGTGAAAGTCATGGACAGGTCATGGTCAATAAATAAAAATTCATGGCCCGTGACCTGTTCATGAGTTTTACCAAAAATACTCCCGACTAAATCTCTACTTCTGGGAACCTACTGCTCTGGGGAACCCCTGCTCGGGGGGGACCTGCTCCAGAATTGGGGGTTGACTGCCCCCTGGCCGCTGCTCCCCGGGACTGCTCTCTGGATGGCCTCTGGGCTCCCCTGTGGCCACTGCTCCAGCCACCCTGGGACCACTGCCGCTCAGGCGGTTCCCCAGGACACCCACAGGACCGCTGCTCGGGCACTCTCCAGAACCAGTCACACCAGCCGCTGTTTCAGTGGACCCCGGAGCCACCTGCCCAGGGCCTCCCGATCAGTGGCCGGAGCAGCTGGCCTTGGGTCGCTCCAACAGCGTCCAGTGCGGTTGGCCGTGGGGCGACCAAGCAGCTGGGGCCAGCTGCCCGGGCGGCCCTGAAGTCAGCCGCACCAGCCGCTGCAGAAGTCACGGAGGTTGGGGAAGTCACAGATTCCATGACTTTCTGCAACCTCTGTGACAGAATGATCAGCTAGGAGGCAACAAGAGCCATGTAGAGTGTCAGAAAAAGAAATCAAAACTCAAGATTTATCCTCTGGCGCTCGATCCTCTGTCCTCTACTTGTTAAGTCAGTGGGAGGCTTGGCCAAGTAGATCAATGAGAGTAAGGAAGATGGGGCTGGGCCCCAAGTCATTGTTTCACAGGACTTATTCCTTTCATAGCAATGTGAGTTAGGGAGAGAATGTTGGCTCCGAGTTACCATCCAAACTCGGAAAGGCCTAACTGGTGTGACTCTACATTCCTGCAGCCGAGATTTTGGGGGGTTCTTTTAACTCTATAAAGGATGTTTTCACTCTCTTGAGACCAGCGTTCATGCAGTATCTGATTCAAAGCCATGGCCCCGACAAAGTTAATCACAGCATGCAGTGGCAAGGCTGGTTTTCCAAAGTCCTACTCCCTTATTGAGATGACAGTGTAACACCTTGAACACTTAAAAGAATACACGTTCAGTGAATTCTTTTTGCTGGTTAGGAAAGAATCGTATCAACAGGAGTTGCAGCAAGCTGAGATTTTGCCAGTCCCTAGGGCATCCTTGTGGGGAACAGAACCTTGGAAAAGGGGAGCAGTGGCAGTGAGAAAGGAAATTTCAGTGTGAAAAATGATAGATTGGGAGCAGCACGAAAGATAATGGGAGTCAAGTGAGCTAAAACCACAGGTGATCTAAAGGATGGAATTGTTGGCTCCTGGACTTTTCCTTCCAAACACGCACTAACTGTGAAGCGTGTTAGCTAGTTTCCCTCCCTTAGGGTGGTGTTTCACCATTAAATGGGACCCAGTAAGTTGAAGTAGCTGATCACACGGCAATACCAATTCTGCACCTGTATACACACACGTCTCTTTGTTCTGTGGGGCTAATCCTTCCATAGCGCACTGCTGTCCCAGAGCGAGTGAAGGACCCGCCGCAGAATTGCTGCCGAAGATCTGGAGCGCACGAAGTCCCCCCCCGCCGCCAAATTGCCACCCCCCCAAATCCTGGTGCCCTAGGCGACCGCCTAGGTCACCTAAATGGAAGCGCTGGCCCTGTCTGGACAGGTGCCGAAGAGGCAGAGCCATCTAATGCCAGCACAAATCATTACCGCTGCCTGGAGCCTTCAGGCCATTCTGGTCGACACTGTTCAGTTTCTTATACTTCTCTGATCGGCCTGGTACCTGAGTGCCTTCCTCTGCATTCAAGTGATGTAACCAGCCTCATGTGTCAGACCCCTCCTGGTCTGCAGGCTTTAGAGTCTTAAAAATAAGGACCCAATCCTGCACCCACCGAAGTCAGCAGGAGTTCTGCTGCCAACTTAGTGGGAGAGAAATGACCTCCTCAGGCTGGGTCTAGACTACCCGCCTGAATTGGCGGATAGAAATCGACCTCTTGGGGATCGATTTATCACGTCCCGTTGGGACGCGACAATCGATCCCCGAATCGACGCTCTTACTCCACCAGTGGAGGTGGGAGTAAGCGCCATCGACGGGAAGCCGCAGAGGTCGATTTTGTCGCCGTCCCTACAGCGGGGTAAGTTGGCTGCGATACGTCGAATTCAGCTACGCTGTTCGCGTAGCTGAATTTGCGTATCTTAAATCGACCCCCTCCTGTAGTGTAGATGTAGCCTCAGTTTCAATATGAGTGTGGCTTCTGAGCACAGTTTAAACCTTAGTTTTCACTCTTAAAGTTGTCCGGCTGCAGTAACCAGTTAGCAGTGTGTAATTACGTAGAGAGCAGTCATAAGGCTAGGTGCGTCCTTCTTTGTTTTCCACTGCAGTGTTAAAATCATAAAGGCTGCTGTGATTTGTATGAACACACACACAACACCACACACACACGCACACACACACACACACTCTCTCTCTCTCGGTCAGCTACCGTTATTGAGGTCTAGCGAGCCTGCCTGTTTAAAGTCTACTTACCACAAACATGCTAAAAGTGGATAATAGCAACACAGTCTAATGAAGAAAAATGATTCAATTTCATGCTGGTTTGTTGTAATAACTTCTTTACCATTTTCACTCATTACTTTCGACTGGATGTTGATCACGGCAGATTTTGTTTGATGCACTGTTCCCACTTCTGAACTGATGTGATTTGTGTGCATTGTGAAATGTAAGTGAGTATGACAGGGTTCCCTTTTGGATATACCTGAACTATCTAGCTGTTGTTACAGGAGACAGGGTCACAAGATCAACAATATTGGCATGGCTTCATATGAGGTGAAAGGGTTTGGAACCAGTCAATTAGGATTAGAATCAGTTCTTCGGGGGGTTTCTATAAAAGG